AGCTTTCTCTCTTTTTTTCTTTGTAAGACTGGCTAAGGGTTTGTCAATTTTATTTATCTTCTCAAAGAACCAGCTCTTTCTTTCATTGACCCTTTCTCCTGCCTTTTGTGTATCAATAGCATTAATTTCTGCTCTGATTTTTATTATTTATCTCCTAATGACTTTGGGGCTTTGTTTGTTTTTCTTTTTCTCTTTCAATTAGGTGTAGTTTGAGATTGCTTATTTGGGTTTTCTCTTGTTTGTTAAGGTGATCCTGTATTGCAATGAATTTCCCTCTTAATACGGCTTTTGCTGTATCCCATATGAGTTGGTATGGTATGTTTTCATTTTCATTTCTCTCCATATATTTTTTGGTTTCTTCTTTAATTTCTTCAATGATCCATTGCTCGTTCAATAGCATGTTGTTTAGTCTCCACATCTTTGTCCTTTTCTCAGCTCTTTTCTTGTAATTAATTTCTAGCTTTATGGCATTGTGATCAGAAAAGATGCTTGTTATTTCAATTTTCTTAAATTTATTGAGGCTTGCCTTGTTTCCCAACATATGGTCTATTCTTGAGAATGTTCCATGCACACTTGAGAAGAACATGTATTCTGCTGTTTTTAGGTGGAGTGTTCTATATATGTCTATTAAGTCCATCTGTCTAGCTTTTCATTCAATTTCACTGTTTCCTTGTTGATTTTCTGTCTGGATGATCTATCCATTGATGTGAGTGGAGTTTTGAGGTCCCCTATTGTTGTGCTATTATTAATGTCTTCTTTTAGGTTTGTTAATAGTTGCTTTATGTACTTTGGTGCTCCTGTGTTGGGTGGATAGATATTCGTGTTATTTCTTCTTGATGGAATGTCCCTTTGATCATTATATACTGCTCCTCTTTGTCTCTGTTCACCTGTTTTATCTGGAAGTCTGCTTTGTCTGATATAAGTATTGTGACACTTGCTTTCTTTTGTTTGCCGTTAGCTTGGAGTATCATCTTCCACCCCTTCACTCTGAGCCTGTGTTTGTCATTGGAGCTGAGATGTGTTTCCTGGAGGCAGCATATTGTTGAGTCTTGTTCTTTAATTCATCTCACCACTCTGTGTCTTTTTATTGGAGAATTCAATCCATTTACATTTAGGGTGATTATCAATATATGAGGGCTTAATGCTGCCATTTTATCACTCGTTTTCTGGTTTTCCTGCATTTCCTTTGTTTCTTGTCCTGTTTATTTTGGTCTACCAATCAAGTTATGGAGTTTTTTATGTTGTGTTTCTTTGTTTTCTTCTTACTTATTATTTGTGTCTCTGTTCTGCTTTTTTGTTTAGTGGTTACCCTGAAGTTTATATTCAAGATCTTGTGGACAAAATAGTCCCTTTTCTGATGGCCTCTAATTTCCTTAGACTAAATCGATTCAGTCCCTTTCTTCTTTCCCTCCTAAGTTTTTCTCACATCTTATTCCATGTTGTGTTATGAGTTTGTGGTTAAAACGACCAGATTATCTTTGTTTTTAGTGCTCTCCTTCCCTTTGTCTTTAATGCAATACTTCAGTATTTGCTATCCTGCTCTGAATCTGTCTACCTATTTAACTCCATGCTTTGTAACCCTTTTCTCCTCCCTTTTTTTTCCAGGGATGAGGGCCTTCTTGAGGATTACCGGGGGGGTGCGGGGGGGTGCGGGGGGGGGGGGGCATGGCTGCAAACTCCCTTAGCTTATGTTTGTCTGGGAAAGTTTTTATTTCTCCATCATATCTGAAGGATATTTTCACAGGATAGAGTATTCTTGGCTGAAAGTTTTTGTCCTTCAATGATTTGAATACATCATTCCAGTCTTACCTAGCCTATAAGGTTTCTGCAGAGAACTCCACTGAAAACCTGATGGGGGTGCCTTTGTAGGTCATTTTCTTCTGCCTTGCTGCCCTTAGTATTCTTTGTCATTCAGTTTTGCCAGTTTCACAACTATATGCTTTGCAGTAGGTCTTTTTACATTGACATATTTAGGAGATCTGGCAGCCTCTTCCACATGGATTTCCTTCCCTAGGTTTGGGACATTCTCCACTATTATTTCTTTGAACAAGCTCTCTGCTCCATTCTCCTATTCTCCTTCTTGAATACCTATAATTCTCATGTTGCATTTCCTAATTGAGTCGGATATTTCTTGGAAACTTTCTTCATTTCTTTTTGGTCTTAGTTCTTTCTCCTCCTCTATCTGGAGCACTTCAACATGTCTATCTTCAATTACACTGATATACTCCTCCATGGTGTCTGTTCGAGCATTCAGGGAATCCATATCTTATTTCTTCCATTGTCTTTCATCTCTAATATTTCTGATTGATTCTTCTTTATAGTTTCAATCTCTTTTGTGAAGTAGTTCCTGAACTCGTTGAATTGTTTCTCTACATTCTCTTTTACCTCATTGAGTTTTTTGATGATAGCTGTTTTGAATTCTTTGTCACTTAGATTACATATTTCTGCATCCTCAGGACTGAGTTCTGGGTACTTGTATTTTCTTTCTGGCCTGGAGATCTAATATAGTGTTTGATATTGCAAGAGGCTCTGTTTTTTCACATCCTGGCGTTATTAGGTCGCAGTTACCACCTATCACCACTGGGTGGGGGTCAAGAGCCCCATATTCTGAGCCCTCTGCCTTCAGCCGAAATCCCAAGGGTTGGAGCTGTGCTGGACGGGTCGGGGGAGGGGCTCTTTCTCCTCCTTGCTCTCTGGGTTTCCTCCCTCTGCTCTCCTGGGGTGTTGGTTTGATGAGGTCACCCCCCATGAAAGCTTTTGCCCTGGTAGAGGGCTTCCATCTAGGCTGCAAGAGCCCTAGGGAGTCCTTGACGTTCCCACAAACTAATGCCCCCTGCCCCGCTCCTCCCCTCTCAGAGGCCTCCAACCACCCCATCACAGTCTTTAGGGGAGGGAGCGAAGATTTCTCTTACTCCATTCCAGCTTCTTTGAGGGAGGCTCCAGCCTCTCCGCCATCCATCATATGGCTGTGTGGATCCCTCTGACGTTTTTTTGGGTTGAGTTTGGATGTTCTCTGTTGGAGTATGGATGTTTTTTTCATTGTATATAGGGGGGGCGATTTCTGCGAGATCTCACTCTGCCAGGATGCTGATGTCAAAGCCTAGCTTATGTAGTTTTTGATGAGAAGTGTGCTATATTCTTATCTTTGTTCTTCTTTATGTAATGTTTCTTCTTTTTCTCAAGCTGCCTTCAAGATCTCCCTGTCTTTAATTCTCAGCAGTTCAAATATGATATATCTAGCTGTATTTTTAGTTGTTTATCCTGCTTAGTATTTGTGGATCTTGGATTTGTGGTTTGGAATCTGTCATTAATTTTGAAAAATTCTTGGCCATTATTTCTTCAACTATTTCATTTGTCCCATTCTTTCTGTCTTCTCCTTCTGGGATTCCAATTGCACATATGTTAGACTATTTGATATTATCCCACGGATGCTGGATGCTTTGTTTTGTTGTAGTTCTTTTTTCCACTTTTTTCCTTTTGTTTTAGTTTGGATCATTTTTATTGAATTATCTTCAGATTCACTGATTCTTTTCTCCTCTGTGTCAAGACTACTGATGAGCCAGACAAAAGAAATCTTTATCTATGTTACCATGTTTTCTATTTCTAGCATTTCCATTTGCTTCTTTCTTAGAGTTTCCATCTCTCTGCTGAAATCACCCATCTGATCATGAAGGCTGTCCACCTTTCCTACTAGATCCTTTAACATATAAATCATAGTTCCTTTAATTTCCCTGTCTGATCATTCCAACATCTGTATCAAATCTGAGTCTGGTTCTGTTAATTGCTTTGTCTCTTAACAGTGTGTCATTTTTCTCTTCTTTCTTTGTATACCTTATAATAATATTTTGTTGAAAGCTGGACATCTACTGTAAGTCAGTAAATTCTGAGTTTTTATGCCTGGAACTGGGCACGCCTTTCCTTCCACTATGACTTTGTGAAAGAGATCGACTCAATCTACTCAGGAGCTGACTTGCATTTGGGGTTTTTTTTTTTTTGCCATGGATACTTTCAGTTCTCAACAGGCTTCAAGTTTCTTCAACATTCACTACCTGTGTTTATAGTTGAGGTTGGTTTGCCAGAGGTTTGTTTTTCTTGTTTTGTTTTTTTTTTTTCTTTTTCTCCCCAAATCCTCCCAGTACATAGTTGTATATTTTAGTTGTGGGTCCTTCTACTTGTGGCATGTGGGACACCACCTCAGTGTGGCCTGACGAGCAGTGCCATGTCTGCACCCAGGATCCGAACCTGTGAAACCCTGGGCCACCAAGCAGAGCATGCAAACTTACCACTCAGCCACAGAGCTGGCTCCTGCCAGAGGTTTTATCATTGTCCGCTTCACCCTCAGCTTTACATCTTCCCCTTGAGCCTGCTCTTCATAAAATGCCTCTTTCCATGCTCTTGATGCTATTTCAGCAGTAGACTGCTGTGACTTGTTACTTGATGCTTGTTAGCTGGCTTGGTGGTTGGGGGCAGGAGAGGGTGCTCTCTGTTTTCGGACTCAGTATCAGATTTAGGTAGACACTGTACCCCTGGGTCTTAGGGGTAGGGCCTTCTCATCATCCTATGCCATCCTCTGCTGGAAGATTGCTAATGGTCTGGGCCCAACAGAGGTAGAAAGTGTTGTTTCTTTTTTCCATTTCCCCAGCTGCAATAAGTCTTCAACAATACAGATTTACTGCCTAATGACAGGATTTACTGCCCTTCACCTAGTAGCTTAAGGCTTTTATAACAAAGACAGGGGAGAAGGATCTGGGTAGGGCTTGGTGCCTTTCCCTACAGTGGCTGCTTTTCCTTCCCCCAGGCCTGGGCCACAAGGGAAACTTTCTCAGGACTCACACACTGCCCCCAATATTTCTTGTGAACATACAGGAAGGTCAATGGAGAAGAGCCTGAGAGTGAGTGTGAATTATCCTTGTGCTTGTGGCTCCTAGAGTTTCTGTATTTTCATGCTGGCCTGCATTCGGCCTTTAGCAATTCCTTAAAACTTATAGCTGAATTCTTACCAGCTTGATGGTGTGTAGGGGGGTGGAGTCAACCCCAAATAAGCAAGTGCACCTGTGCTGTCTCCTGAAGGCACCTGCTTTCCTCAGATTAAGACAAATGAGGTTGTCCTGGAACCTCAGCTCTGATAAATTTAAAAAAAGTTGTGAAATTTCAGATTGCCTTGTGATTTCTTTTGTTGAAATAGTGAAAGCTATGCTATTTCCAGCTTTTCTTTGTCCTAAGCAGAATCCCAAAGCCCCTGATAAACCCTGTTCTGTAGTTAAATCTGTTACATGTACTTGAGTAAAACTCTTAATACAGGTACCAACTTCACTCATTACTCAGAAATAAATTCTAAATGCAGCAAAGGTGTAAACATAAAAATTGAAACCATGAGTACCTGAAGAATTGGGGAGAACTTCATTATAACTTCAGTGAGGGAAAACATTTTTAAGCTTCCTTAAAACACAGAAACCATAAAATAAAAGAATAATAATAAGACTAATAAATTCAACTACATACAATGCAAAAGTTTCTACATGGCAACAAATCATTGTAGAGGCCGGACTGGTGGTGTAGTGGTTAAGTTCGTGCACTCCACTGTGGTGGCCTGGGGTTCACAGGTTCAGATCCTGGGTAAAGACCTAGCAGACCTACACACCGCTTATCAAGCCATGCTGTGGCATCATCCCAAATACAAAATAGAGGGAGATTGGCACAGATGTTAGCTCAGCAACAATCTTTTTCAAGAAAAAGAGGAAGATTGGCAACAGATGTTACTCAGGGCCAATCTTGAAAGAAAGAAAGGAAGAAAGGAAGGAAGGAAGGAAGGGAGGGAGGGAAGGAGGGAAGGAGGAAGGAAGGAAGGAAGGAAGGAAGGAAGGAAGGAAGAAATCATAAACATCAAATAACAAACTGAGAAGAAAAATATTTGCAACACTAATTTTCTTAATTTAAAAAGCACTTATAAATCAACAAGCAAAAGATCAATAATCTGTGAGCAAAGAATAGGAACAGATATTTAACAGAAAAGGAAATAAATATACAAAAGTGATTAGCCTACCTTAAACAAATCTGTAAATTTACAAGATACAATTACCACTACTCAGGTTGACAAAGATTTAAAAAATCAATAATATTGAATCAACAAGCATGAGAAGGAGATGGTGTCAAGATGGCGGTGTATGCAGACTCTGAACTCACCTCCTCCCATGGACACAGTGAATTTACAACTACTGTTGGAACAATTACCCCTAAGAGAGAACTGAAAACTGGATAAAAAGAATCCACACAACAAAGGACAGTACTGACTGAGGTGGAAGAAGCAGAAATTCTTTTCTGGAGAGAAAATAGCCACCTTTGAGCTGCAACACTTCATGACAGGCCAGGAGCAACCTTAAGGTATGAAGTCTTCCCTGGAGGAGTTGGGGAACTGAGCAGGGGAGTGTTACCATAATAAGCAGCATTTGAACTCAGCACAACCAAGACAAGTGTCATAATACCTGTCTTTGCTGGCTATTAACTACAATGGGGAATACCCCCAGAAAAGCTATCAGACATAAGTGAAAAAAAAGCCTGTTCTTAAAGGGCTCATGCACAAATTCATCCATTTCAGACAGCAACCTAAAATCCCCAGAAAGAAAGGTGCACAGTCCTTTGGTGAAGAGACTCACCTGATAGGCTCTGGGCACATCTCAGTGAGAGCTAAGATCTCTCCAGGGACTGAGACACTGGCATCAGCCATTATTGTGACCTAGCACAGGCATGCTGATGTATATGCTGGCAGACACCATTGGAGTTCTTCCCCTAACCTGTTAGCCTAGGGTCTGCCACACTCACTAGAGCACCAATGTAATCCAGCTCAGCCAGGGCAGGCAGCCCACCCCAGGGACTGGCCCCACCCAACAGCAAGCCCTTGGGCAAGTTGTGGGCCCACATAAGCAGGGTACCTGGAACCTCAGCAACCGCCCGAGTGTGTCCCCCTTGGCGGAGCAGGGCATGCACGAGGAGTGGACCTGCTTGGTGGAGTTTGTGGGGCCTCTGCAGTGGGGCGAGTGGGTCCACTTCCATGGGCCGGGCCACATATGCAGGGCAGGACTGTGTTGATGAAGTGTGTGGCCCTGTGGGTGATGGGGCCTGACACCTGCAACAGACTTGTGCTTCTAAACAGCCACATAAGGGATTGGTCCCACCTTCCAAAGCCTGAAACAATTGGGTGCTCTCATGGCTGGGGCCAGGCCTACTCAACTGCAACCCTAAGAGAGCTGACAATAGCCTTGCAGGCCAGAGGCCTACAGCAATTGTAAGCCCCTGAGCCTAGCAACCAGCCATGCTGGGGGCCTACTCACTTAACAGAAAAACTGCAACATGAACGTGCTATTAGACCTTGCGGCCAACTGTGCTGGGGCTCCCAATGCCCAATAAAGAGACTGGAAGGACCATAGCAGCCACACATAGCTGAGCATTACAACCAGCCAGCCAGGGGGACAGCCTGGCCTCCCCAGGCACCTGCAGCAAAAGAAACCCTGCCATAATAGAATGACACACGTAGCCCACACAGGGGACACTCCTGGAACATCTGGAACTGCTGATGAGAGGGAAGCACACTGCTGGGCCTCATAAGGCATCTCTTACATAAGGCCACCTCTCCAAGATCAGGAGACACAGACATACACAGGTATAAGCACAGAGAAAGAGGCAAAATGAGGAGACAAAGGAATATGTTCCAAGTAAGGGAACAGGACAAAACCACAGAAAAACAACTAAATGATACAGAGATAAACAGTCTACCTGAGAAAGAGTACAAACAATTAGTCATAAGGATGCTCACCAATCTTGGGAGACGATGGATGAGCTAAGTGAGAACTTCAACAAAGAATTGGAAAATATAAAAAAGACCAAACAGAAATCAAGAATACAATATTGGAAATGAGAAATTCACTAGAGGGACTCAGTAGGAGAGTAGGTGATACAGAAGAACGGATCAGTAAGCTGGACAAAGAACTAGAGGAAATCACTAAAGCTGAACAGATTTTTAAAAAAGAATTAAAAAGAACAAGGACAGTTTAAGGGACCTCTGGGACAACATCAAGCTCACTAACATCCGTGTTATAGGTGTCCCAGAAGGAGAAGAGAGAGACAAAGGGGCAGAGAATCTATCTAAAGAAATAATAGCTGAAAAATTTCCTAACCTAAGGAAGTAAACAGACATCCAGGTACAAGAATCACAGAGAGCACTAAAGAAGATAAACCCAAAGAGGCCCACAACAAGACACATTATAATTAAAATGTCAACAATTAAAGATAGAGAATCCTAAAAGCCACAAGAGAAAGACAACAAGTTACGTACAAAGGAAACCCCATAAGGCATTGGCTGACTTCTCAGCAGAAACCTTACAGGCTAGAAGGGAGTGGCACAATATATTTAAAGTGCTGAAAGGAAAAAACCTACAGCCAAGAATATCCTACCCCACAAGGTTATCATTCAGAATGGAAGGAGAGATAAAGAGTTTCCTAGACAAGCAAAAACTAAAGAAGTTTATCACCAAGAAACCAGCTTTACACGAAATGCTAAAGGGATTTATTTAAGTGTAAAAGAGAAGACCACAAATAGGAATAAGAAAATCATCCAAAAACAAAAGGCAATAAAATCACTGGTAAAGGCAAATATACAATAAAGGTAGAAGATCAACCACCTATGAAGCTAATATGAAGGTCAAAAGACAAAAGTAGTAAAATTATCTATTTCCATGATAAGAGGGTAATGATACACATGCACAAAAAAAAGAGGTTAGATATGATATCAAAAACATAAAATGTGTGAGGAGGGGAGTAAAAGAGTAGAGCTTTTAGCAAGAGGTGAAACTAAAGAAACCATCAACTTAATATAGATTGCTATATAAATAGGTTATTATATATGAACCTCATGGTAATCACAAACCAGAAGCCTATAATAAATACACAAAAATTAAGAGAAAGGAACCTAAACATAATACTAAAGAAAGCTATCAAACCACAAGAGAAGAAGAAAGAAACAGAGAAGAACTACTAAGACACCCAGAAATAAAGTAACAAAATGGCAATAAGTACATTCTTAATCAATAGCTACTTTAAATATCAATGGACTAAATATTCCAATCAAAAGGTATAGTGAGGCCAATTGGATTAAAAAACAAGACCCATATATATGCTACATACAAGAGACACAATTCAGACCTAAAGACCCTCACAAACTGAAAGTGAAGGGATGGAAAAGGATACTCCATGCAAATGGCAATGAAAAGAAAGCTGGGATAGTAATACTTATCTCAGACAAAATAGACTTTAAAACAAAAACTGTAACAAGAGACAAAGAAAGGCACCACATAATGATAAAGGGAACAATCCAACAAAAGGATATAACACTTGTAAGTTACCATGCACCCAAGATAGGAGCACCTAAATATATAAAGCAATTATTAACAGACATAAAAGAAAAAATAGCAACACAATAATAGTAGGAGGATTTAACACTCCACTTACACCAACAGATAGATCATCCAAACAGATAAATAAGGAAATGTTGGCCTTAAATGACACATTAGACCAGTTGGATGTAGTAGACATATACAGAATATTCTATCCCAAAGCCACAGAATACACATTCTTTTCAAATGCACATGGAACATTCTCCAGGATAGATCACATATTAGGCCACAAAACAAGTCTCAATAAATTTAAGAAGACTGAAATAATACCAAGCAGCTTTTCTGACAACAATGCTATGAAACTGGAAATCAACTGCAGGAAGAAAACCCAAAAGGCCACAAATATGTGGAGATTAAACAAAATGCTACTGAACAACGATTGGGTCAATAAAGAAATCAAAGGAGAAATAAAAAAAAATAGCTGGTGACAAATGAAAATGAAAATATGACATGCCAAAATTTATGGGATACAGCAAAAGCGGTTCTAAGAAGGAAGTTTATAGCAATACAGGCCTACCTCAACAAACAAGAAAAATCTCAAATAAACAACCTAGCAGTGCACCTAAAGGAACTGGAAAAAGAAGAACAAACAAAGCTCAAAATTAGTAGAAGGAAGGAAATAATAAAAATCAGAGCAGAAATAAATAAAATAGAGACTAAAAGAAATTGAAAAAATCAATGAAAGTAAGAGCTGGTTCTTTGAAAAGATAAACAAAATTGACAAACCTTTAGCTGGACTCACCAAGAAAAAAATAGAGAAGGCTCAAATAAATAAAATGAGAAATGAAAGGGGTGAAATTAGAACAGATACCTCAGAAATACAAAAGATTACAGGAGAATACTATGAAAAGCTATACACCAACAAATTGGATAATCTGGAAGAAATGGATAAATTCTTAGAAACATACAACCTTCCAAAACTGAATCAAGAAGAAATAGACAATTTGTATAGACCAATCACCAGTAAGGAGATCAAAACAGTAATCAAAAACCTCCCAAAAATTAAAAGTCCAGGACCAGACAGCTTTCCTGGTGAATTCTACCAAACATTCAAAGAAGACTTAATACCTAACCTCTCAAAATCTTCCAAAAAATTAAAGAGGAGGGGAGGCTTCCTAAGTCATTCTACGAAGCTAACATTACCCTGATACCAAAACTAGACAAGGACAAAATTTAAAAAAGAAAATTATGGGCCAATATTACTGATGAACATCAATGCAAAAATCCTCAACAAAATATTAACAAATCAAATACAACAATACATTTAAAAGATCATACACCATGATCAAGTGGGATTTATTCCAGGGACGCAGGGACAGTTCAACATCTGCAAATCAATCAATGTGATAAACCTCATTAACAAAATGAAGAATAAAAATCAGATGATCACCTCAATACATACAGAGAAAGCATTTGACAAGATACAGCATCCATTTATGACAAAAACCCTGAAGAAATGGGTATAGAAGGAAAGTACCTCAACCTAATAAAGGCCATATATGACAAACCCACAGCTAATATTCTCAATGGAGAAAAACGGAAAGCTATCCCTCTGAGAACAGGAACCAGACAAGGATGCCCACTTCCGTCACTCTTATTTAACATAGTATTGGAAGTCCTAGCAAGAGCAATCAGGCAAGAAAAAGAAATAAAAGGGATCCAAATTGGGAAGGAAGAAGTGAAACTGTCACTATTTGCAGATGAAATTATTTTATATATAGAAAACCCTAAAAAATCCTCCAAAAAACTTTTAGAAATAATAAATGAATACAGAAAAGTTGCAGGATACAAAATCAACATAGAAAAATCAGTTGCATTTCTATACACTAGCAACAAAATAGCAGAAAGAAATTCAGTATACAATCCCATTTACAATCGCAACAAAAAGAATAAAATACCTAGGAATAAACATAACCAAGGAGGTGAAAGACCTGTACACTTAAGACTGTAAAACATTGTTGAAAGAAATTGAAGAAGATGCAAGGAAATGGAAAGATATTCCATGCTCTTGGATTGGAAGACTTAACATAGTTAAAATGTCCATACTTCCTAAAGCAATCTACAGATTCAGTGCAAACCCTATCAAATTTCCAACAACATTTTTCACAGAAATAGAACAAAGAATCCTAAAATTTGTATAGAACAACAAAAGATCTTGAATAGCCAAAGGAATCCTGAGAAAAAAGAACAAAGTTGGAGGTATCACACTCCCTGATTTCAAAATATACAAAACTATAGTAATCAAAACAGCATGGTACTGGCAGAAAAACAGACACACAGATCAATGGAACAGAATCAAGAGCCCAGAAATAAACCCACACATGTATGGACAGCTAATTTTCGACGAGGGAGCCAAGAACATACAATAGAGAAAGGAAAGTCTCTTCAATAAATGATGTTGAGAAAACCAGTCAGCCACATGCGAAAGAATGAAAGTAGACCATTATCTTACACCATACACAAAAATTAACTCGATATGGATTAAAGACTTGAATGTAGACCAGAAACTTCTAGAAGAAAACATAGGCACTACGCTTTTTGACATTGGTTTTAGCAGCATATTTTCAAGTACCATGTCTGACCAGGCAAGGGAAACAATAGAAAAAATTGACAAAAGAGACTACATCAAACTAAAAACTTCTGCACAGCAAAGGAAACCATCAACAAAATGAAAAGACAACCTAAAACTTGGGAGAAGATATTTGTAAACTATATATCTGATAAGGGGTTAATATGCACAATATATAAAGAATTCTTACATCTCAACAACAAAAAAACTAACAACCCAATTCACAAATGGGCAGAATATCTGAACAGACATTTCTCCAAAGAAGATGTACAGACGGCAACAGGCACATGAAAGGATATTCAACATCATTAACTATCAGGGAAATGCAAATCAAAATTACAGTGAGATATCACATCACGCCTGTCAGAATGGCTGTAATTAACAAGACAGGAAATAACAAGTGTTGGAGAGGTTGTGGAGAAAAGGGAACCCTCATACACTGCTGGTAGGAATGCAAACTGGTACAGCCACTATGGAAAACACTATGGAGAGTTCTCAAAAAATTAAGAACAGAACTACCATATGACCCCTCTATTCCACTGCTGGGTATTTATCCAAAGAACATGAAAACACAAATGTGTAAAGATCTATGCACTCTTATGTACATTGCAGCATTATTCACAACAGCCAAGACTTGGAGGCAACCTAGGTGCCCATCAAGGGACAAATAGATAAAGAAGACGTGGTATATACACACAATGGAACACCACTCAGTCATAAGAAACGGTGACATCTGGCCATTTGTGACAACATGAATGGGCCTTGAAGGTATTATGCTAAGAGAAATAAGTCGGAGGGAGAAAGTCAAATACCATATGATCTCACACATAAATAGAACATAAAAACAACAACAAACAAACACATAGAGATAGAGATTGGATTGGTGGTTACCAGAGAGGAAGAGGGGAGGAAGGAGGGTCAAAGGAGTGGTTAGGCACGCATGTGTGCTGACGGATGGTAATTAGTCTTGAGGTGGCGAACATGATGCAATCTACACAGAAATCAAAATATAATGATGTACACCTGAAATTTATATAATTTTATAAACCAATGTTACCACAATAAAAAAAATAAACATGGGAAGAAAGTACACTTTACACAGTGTTGGTGAGAATGCACATTCATACAATTGGTGCGGCAATAAGGCAATATCAATATTTAAAATACTCACACCCTTTCCTCCATTAATTCAACGCTTAGGAATTTCTCCGATACATATACTCATACCCATGTACAACGACTTATGTACGTGAGGTTTGTGTCAGCATTATTATTCAGAGCAAAAGATGGTAAACAACTAAACATCCATCAATGTGAAGTTGAAGGTAAGTTATGTTATAGTTCTATCAAAGACTTTACAGCCAACAAGGAAAATTATATATGTAAGATATATTCACATTATTAAATAAAACAAAGAGAAAAAAATACCCATCATAAGTTTCCATTTGTCAAGCAAAATATATCAGTTTATTTATGCTTCCTGTGCTAAATTAATTCTGAAAGATGACAGGGGGAAGAAAATTCTGAAGGATACACATGGATGACAAAGGAGAGAGAAGGGGAGAAAGAGACATACTACATACCTTCTTTTGCCTTTTGAGTTTTGTACAATGTATATATATGACTACTTTTTAGAAACCAATTATTTTCACTGATTTAAATCAATTAAATGCACTGGCTCTTCATCAACAGGCCGCACCTCTGCACCTCCAGTCTTTCCCCACAAGTCCCCTGAGTTCGCCCACCTGCACCTCTGCTAGAGATAGATGCACTTCTTACTGCCAGACACACTCCGTGCCCCATTCCTCAGGGTTCTGCATCTGTTGGTAAGTTTCTTCCCCACCTGGAACACCTCCTTTCCCTCACAGCCTGCACCTTTAGAACCAACTCCAACGTCACTCTACGCAGGAGCCCTGTCTGACCACCCTGGTCCTCACTATACCTTCCCTCCTCTGAAATGGGATGTGTGTGACCTGGGCTTCACAAGTGAGTATATAATTCTATTTGTTCTAGATTGTCGGCTCTTGCTTCATGTGAATTAGTCTTATCTTGGAAACTAGATTAAATGGCTTGAGAGCAAGAAGGCAACATGACTCATATGTCTTTGTACCCCTGACACTGCCCACCTTAGGGATGAGCACAGACTGAGGGCTAACCATGCCAGCTGGGTGGAGGACTGGATGCTACAGGGAGGACCAAATAGCCTCTTCAGAGATGGTGAGCCCAAGGATTTTTGGCTGTGACAGACCACGATCACTAGGCCAAGATCCTCTCAAGGAAATGCCAGAATCCTGGAGTATTAGAGAAATATGACAATATCCACAGAGGTCAAGAAGGGAACATAAACATGTAAATAAATGCACAGAGTATAGGAGTGATGGGATGCAGGGAGCAATTAGAAAATGTGCCCTGCTCAAAGACGTCAAAAAATCCAGGTTAAAAAAAAAACACAACAACAAAAAAATCTCCCTCAGGGAAACAGTATACATCCAGAGCAGATGAGTAGATCTAACCACGATCAGCAACTAGTTTATGACCTTGAGTCAGAAGTGGCCACTAACCCATCTCTGCAGGTTGCCATCACCATGAACAGACAGAATTCTCTAACACGGTAACAACAGCTCTAGAAAACTCTTAAAAACTCCTAAACTAAGTGAGTCTCATTAGTGCCTCCATGGAAGGCAGTGTTTACAATCTCTTCTCACCACACAGACTTCCTCCACGTATGTAAATTTCAAGGTAGTGCCACCTTGGCCTTTCTCTGCCACATCAGCCTTGGTCCCTTCACACACCTCTAATTGCCCGTCGCCCACTGCCTGTAATAAAAAGCTCTCCATTTCCAAGCATAACCAGACTCTGCCCTCCCTCATCTCGTGTGTGCTTCTAGGACATATTTCCAGTATGGGGGCAGCAGCTGGTGGAGGTTCCTCTGTCCCAGCCACTCGTCCTCAAAAGTGCCCTGTGTCCCTAAACACTGTTTTCTGCGGATGGGTGACCAGACAGTTGTCGTGAAGGACAGAGCTGAGCCACCGGGCTGGTGTAGGGTGTGGAGAGTGAAGACAAAGTGGGAGCAGACACTGCCTGGGAGTGGGCACCTTTGGGCTGAGGCTCGGCAACCCTTACAGACAACCAGACACCCACACCTACAGACTGCATCAACACATAAGCTTCCTGAAGACAGGTCAAGACTCTGTCACTACACCTGCTTGTGAAACAGAAGGGCTCTGTGATGCAGTCCGCTCACCTGGTTCCGTCTTCTGTGAGGCGTACCACTGGGAGTCATCAGGTACCAGAACCCTGACTGCCTAGAGAGAAGGATGGTTGATCTCCTCATGCTAATGAGGTTTAGACCATGTTGAGCCCTACTTTTGTTTATGGCTCCATCTTCATTATTACCCTAATTATCTGGCAAGTGAAAAGGAGTTATGATGGATTAAGGTTGGAACCGAAAAGGAGCTGCTGCCAGGTAGGGAAACGCTATGACCACGACAGAACTAATTAAGCCCCAGATAAGCAGCTTGTCAGAGTCTCTCTTTTTACCCATCCCCTCCCTCAATTTTTATAGCACAAATTCAGTTACTCTTAAATGGCACTGCTCTTCTCAGAGTCTAGAAATAATTCCTTACCAGGCCATCCCTGCAGTGTATTCTATTTGAAAAATCAAGAACCTATCAGGCTTGGGCTGAGACTGAGATGAACTAGAATCTACTCACTAGATCTCAGTAGATCTCTCAATATGAGGGACTTTTCCAGTTAGCAGTTCAGTAAGGTAATTGTTAGCAGCAGTCCTTTGGCTTTAGACCTACACGCCCTTTAATCTGTTCCACTCTGTCTCTTGTTTCATCATAAGCCTCAGGCAGAACTTCCCCTGGGAAATAACTGGGAGGTAGAGAGTATGGAAGAGCCTCGAAATGCTGGGATGAGAAAAGGTGGAGTATAGAAAGGAAGGTTAGGAAAGTCAGTAAAATACAGACAGATATATAGAAAGGGATTGGGAAATGAATATTTCCTTGGCTCATTTTGGACTTGAAAAAGAAAATAGTGCACCAGCTTCACACTCTAACTTTTTTGTCTTTAAGCGTCACCGAAAAGCCAGGCAAAGGGCTAGAGAGGCAGCATCAAGAGGTAATCCTATTCTCTGCTCTGACCCCTCCACTGTGTGTGTGGTTCCCATGGATCCTGTCCCTCTAAAACCCCTGATGCCAGGAGCCAGTGCTCTCCCTACTGAAGGCTCCAGCTTCCCAAGTCAACAACTTCTCCCAGAAGACTTTCTTGGGTGGAAATCAGAGCCTGGGAAGCTTCCAAAATTCTCAACCTTACCCCCGGGAATGAAGAATGAGGAAGTAGGGCAGAAGTCCCTAGCTGTGTCATTTACTAGTTTTATGACCCTATGGTGGTAAATTCATCTCAGTTTTGTCATCCAGGAAATGGGCATCTGATGATCTGGCCTCAATCACAGTGTGCTGGTGATGATCAGATGACATTGGGTCCCGGACACGACATCATAACTGGCTAAGTTGTATGCAGACATGTCTTAGAGCATTGACTCTTGGGGTTTCCAGTCTCCTCTCATTCAGAGGCCTTCAGCTTCCTATAGGATGTCCCTGAATCCTCTCCCATTCCATGTAACACTGTCTCCCGTTTTCTCAGCCAGGAGAATTTCCCAGGAGGAAGCTGAGAAGCCATGGGAACTGCTCTCTGTCATGAAAAGGTGATCTCTTGCTCTTTGCAGCCTCTCTACTGCCAGCCTGGCCTGTGATGAGTTCTCTCCTTGACTGGGGGCAGGGATGAGGAGAGGGATAATGGCAGGGAGGGAGCAAGACACAGCGGAGGCTAGAGCACTGATGGAGAGGGTTGCCAGGGCACTGGGGGAACAAACATCTCCGGAGGGAGGAGTCTCCCAGTTCTGCTCGGGCCTGGCTCACATTGGTCCTGGAATTCAGGATTGACTAGTGCATGATTCATAAACAACTCTACATGGCCTTGCGCTCAGCCACAAGACAAGCTATTGAGGTGAAAGAATGGATAAATAAGTGCATAAATAAGTCCTCAATGTCATACTCTCTTTACAGCTACACCCTTTCGAGGGCAGACCCCTCGGAGTCTGGCTGGGCCCTGCTGACATTACCTCCTCTGGTTCTGTCTTCAGGGAAGCCAGTCCCTGAGACAACCCTCAGACAGGAGCCTGTCATCTTATCCTCTTCTTAAGATCTCCAGAGCATGTGGCTGTCTCCCAAGAGATGTTGTGTGCAACCCAGAATCCCCAGAATGCAGAGTTCCCACAAGCACCTCATATTCCACAGTTTGGCAATACTGAATAGCAGGCTGCGGCCTTCTTAGCCCCAAATGAAACTGATTCCAGGTTCCCCCTGGTGATGCCACATCAGCTACCACTGGCTTCCGCTTATCCTAGTTCAGCTTCTCAACACAGGCCAGCAGAGAATTCGCCCCACCACTGGGTCTCGCATGGCCCTGCGCTCCCACGGCTTCTCTGACACCTTGCCCAACAAGCCCCAGAACTTCAGGCAGCACACCACAACTTACCAAAAGCCATTTTCCTAGGAAGAAAAGTAGATGGATAAACAGCCAGGCAGTGTAGGCCCGAGGGCCTCCAGGGATAGGGGAGGGCAGTGCCAATCTCCAGGCCACACACTTCCAAAGAGGCAAGTGTCACTCCATCAGTAACAGCTGCCACGTTTCCCTTCCCAGCCAGGGCTGGCTTCCTCGGGAGGGAAGTGTGCGGCGGCTCCTGTGTGCAGACACCTGCTGCCAAATCTGCAATGCCCTGGCTCTGGAGATTCAGCAGATGCTGGCGGGTGAGAACAGCCTGATCTCTTCCACTTCATCGAGGCCATCGCAGGGTTCCTCTTGCCTAGAGATGTTGTCCCTGTCTACTGTGTCTTTCGAGCAGAGTCTGCAGCATCCTTCTCCACAATCCAAAGAGCTTTCACTTCCATCTGCAATCCCCACAGTGTTGCAATTAATGGATCAGAGATCCTTAACACAGTCCGCTGCCCAGTCCGCTGGTGCAGTCAGCCTCCACCATTACTGGGCTGAACACCTCCAGCGGGGGCAGGAATTGCAAGTGCTAGAGATGCCCAGGGGCCCAGTGATAGAGTCTTCTTCAAGATTTGAGGAGCCTGTGGTTCCAGGGTACCAGCAGAAGATGATGCAAAGCAACCCCAACCTTGTCTGTGGGAACAAAGGTCAGCCACCAGTGAATTCTCAGGTTGCTCTGCTGACCCAGAACACAGAAATCGCTACCCTGACACATCCTGTGGGCTTGCATATGGTCAGTGTCCTCCCTGCCCACCTGCCATTCCTCAATCCTCATGTCCTGAGGTTTCTAGAGGTACATATAAGAAAATGGATGCATTTCCAGAGGTGGGGGCTCCCCCGACGAGTGGAGGAGTCCCTGAGGCACTTTATGCCAAACCCACCATTGTTTTACCAACCTGTAAGTGACCAATCAGTTTCTTTCATCCAGAGTGATACTTCTCAGATCTCTGTTGAGGAATGTGGGACCATTTCCTACCAGACCTGGGGTACATGTATGGCTGGCCAGCCCACCCAGGCCTTCTGGGTTTCTGAATGGTCCATTGTGGACCCAAAACAAAGACACCACTACCAGCAAATCCCAAACCATATGACTCTAGCCTTGCCCTCTGCAGCCCTTAAGGACTTCAGTGGCCTCTATCCACTTCCTGGGCCACAGGCTCATGACGCAGTGGGCACTTCAGAGCAGAAATACAGCCAGCTATTCTGTGGCCTCCCTTCTCTGCACAGTGAGTCCCTGGTTGATATCTTCTTTGGCTCTCAAAGTCTCTCCATAAATGGAAACTTGTCCAAGCCTCCTTTGAAGGATCCTTTTCTCTTCAAGGAGCTCTCCTTCCCTCCTCTGCCATCTAAAATTCCACCACACTCAGCCCCACCCTTTTCCCCATCTTCCCCAAATTGGGTCACTCCGTCTGACCACCAACAAGCTCAGATCAAGGTCCCATTTCTGACACTGGCCCAGTGTCAAGCCCTGGAGTGGAATCTGCGGCAGAGGCAGCTCCAGCTTCAGTGGGGTTTGCCAGCAGTTTTCCAGAGATCTCAGCACACTCAGAGCCCCGGGCAGTATAAGCTCTGTGACAAAGCCCAGTCTCCTGAGACTGGGAAAACTTCTTCGCCAGGGAAGTCCAGCTCAGTCCTGACCAGAGAACTCCGCTTCTTCCCGGAGCATGGCCGGAGGCTGCTGGGATTCCACCTCCAGAGGCAGCTGATTCACCATCGCTGGGGCCTGCCCCAGAAGATCCAGCAGTCCATCCAGTTGTTCCTGTCCCCCACTGACCAGCAGACTCTGTCCTGGAACAGCACGGCCCAGGCCAATGTGACTGTTCCCCAACCTACAGCCCTAGAGGTCATAGGGGCTGGTGACCCATTCTCACCCGTCACGGACCCAGTGTCAGGCCCTGTGCCACACTTCCTCAACCAGGCCAAGGCAATACTGCAGAGTCACATCAACTCCAAACGTGGGCAGATTCACCAGGGCAAGGTCCCTGCCTGTGTCTACAGCTCGTGGGAATGCATCATTCCCGGGGGCCTGGAAGGGGCTCCCTTCACCTGCATCCCAGAAAGCAAGCCCCTCGAGGGACAGCCAGCCACTGACTCTGATCTACAACAGGAAGTTACACCCTGGATGCCAACAGCCCTCGATCAGCAGCAACGAGCCTCTGCCGATGCTGTCACTGAACATCCTAAGCTGCCCCGGGCCCTGTCCAAGGGAGCCCTTGAGAAACTGGAGACGACTTTACGGCACAAGTATCTGGCCTTCTTGTCAGGGCTGCCCACTCTCTATTATGTGGCTCTGTCCCGGGCCACGGCCCCAGCAATCACTACTCAAGCTCTAACCCCAGAGAAGGTGCCTGGCCCTGTCGGATTCCCCAAAGAACCTGTGACTCAGGTGACCTCATCTGAAGAGCAGTGTCGAAGTCCTGGGCCATGCTTTCAAGATGCCAACAAGACTTGTGCAGACTCTGCAGATGAGCTGCAGGCTGAAGTGCAGGTGGAAGGAATGATCGAGACCGTGCCTTTAGAAAGCCAGACAGAGCCCGCTAGCCCCTACTCACTCAAGAAACCCATCTTGGCCAAACTAAACTTCCACCTGAGAAAGAAGATCCTAGAGATACAATTGGGAATTCCCATAAGGGCAAAGGCGTCCAGGGAACAAACCGTAGCAATCCCAGAGAACACATCCACACAGGAGTCTCCTGGGAGTCTAAGCAAGCCAGGAAAAACACTGCTCCAGGAACTCCCCAGCAGACTAGACACTCTTCGTGCCCCAGATCCAGCATGGCTCCACTTTAGAGAACAGCTGGCCAGTGAGTTAAAGGCATTGCAGCAGAGCCAGAAGCACCCTAGTTGCACAGCAGTGCCCCATGGTTCTGCCCACTGGGCCTCCAAGATCTCACAGCCCAGTGAGGAAGCGACAGAGGCCCAGGTGCTTTGTGTTCAGCTGGAGGCCAGTGTGAACCACCCCAGCCCAGTGCAGCCCTGGAGCCCTGAGCCCCACAGCCCTGGCAAGAGCAAGGACTCAGCCCAAGTCCCCATGCTGGCAGGAAACAGAGAGGACCCAGGGAAACCCAAGTCAGCAGGGGACCTCGGAGAAGGGGATGCGGGGTTTGGGCTCTCCTCAACAAGAGAAAACGGCCACCCTGCTGAAGCCCAGAGGCCAGAAGGCATGCTTCTGCACAGGATACCCGACAGCCCCTGGCGACCGAGACCAAGCTTTCACCTTGACGCTCCCTGTCCACACAGTCGCCAGCATCGCCCTCAGCTTAAGCTCCTGGAGCTGCCTCCAGGAGTCGCTGGGGGGAAGCAACCCGAGAAGAATGACCTGCCAAACAGTCAAACCAAGATCAGTGTCATCCTCAAACCAGCAGGGCTGCCTGAGCACACCCTGCCTGTGGTGCCCCAGGCATCCCAGGCCCAGCCTTTCCTGGGCCAACTCATTCAGGGTCAGCCACGGCAGGGCCAAACTTGGCCAGGTCAGGTTTTGCAGGGGCAGGTGATGCCAGCCCATCCTTATAAGAGGCCCGGCCTTCCAGAATCTGGCTTGAGAAATAAGATGAAATCCTTTCTGCACTGGATTAACCCCAAGACAAAAGGCAAAGGGCACAAGGAATCTGTGTTCTCCACAGCTGAGAAAGTGGCCAGCACCACACAAAATGTAGAAAAGAGCCTGGCTCCAGCCAAAAGTCCCACGGGGCGACCTAAGAAACCGAAGACAAGAGGGGACCCCAAGGCCCAATCTCCCCCCACTGAGCAGCACGTGGGCCTGGCCTTCTTGGATAACCCTCCTTCCTCAGATGGTAGGCTCCAGCACTGCTCCCACTCCCACCAACTCCACTCTGCCTCAGTCCTGGGCCACCCCCGCCACTGCCCTCGCCACTGTCCTCGAGTGGCGTGTGCCCCCACCCAACCAGGGAACCCACCCTAACTCTCAACTGTCCCCTCAGAGGGAAACATTGGCCTCCTCCTCAAGAAGCCCAGTGCAACCAACAGACTTTGTAGGCTCCCAACGCCTGCATCCCTTGAAGAGGACTGATACTGTCACTTTCCTTACTGTGCAGGTGCGGACGAGCACCACCCGAAATACACTCCATAAGTTAAGCAAAGAGTGGTCTGTCTGCGCCTTCTCTCCACCTGGGAGGGTTAAGGGAAGGCATGGGGGAGGCTAAAATGTCCTCCCTCTCTAGAGAATGAGCTTAACCCACACTTAAGCTGGGTCAGCATTCCACACAACTCCACCCAGCCCCACCCTGGACTGTGGGTAAAGGGACTCAAGCAGAGAAGGAAGCCCCTTGTCAAAGGTGCATTGAACGTAAAGGTCAGGCTTGAATTCTATCGTGGTGTCCCATGACATCCTTGGACCCAGAGGAGCAATGTGGACGTGAGGACAGTACCGACAAGAAGAAGCAGCCAAGATTCACGCAGGCACAATTCACTGAGGACTTCTGTGTAGGCCCACAAGCTGGAGGGAAGCTTTTAGAGGAGTGTCACAGTGTTCCACCCTTAAGGAGGTGCTTGGGGTTTATCAAAAGTCCACAGCTAATATGACACAATGTCAAAAGCAAATGACCCAATCTCCCCCTCTCTGCTCCCTGTTGGTTAGTGGTTAGATCTTTCTGGAGAACTCATCTGGGAGGCTGCTGTAGCTTTCTTGCCTATATCCCACCTCCACTGCCTATCTGCTGCATGGAATGAGTGACACCTGGAATGAAGATCACAGTAGGACATGGGGAAGGACTTGTGCCCCATCCCACCCCCAAGAGTAGGCAGGGAGAGAAGCAGGGAGGAGGAGCATGTATATGGAGGTCTGAGTACCTGGGACAGAACCTGACAGGTTCCTGACCAGGATATGATAGAGGAGAAAAGCCAATTTCCCTTGAACTCAAAAGAACCTAGCTCCAGGAAGCCAACCCAAGGTCCAAGTGCCTTAGGGGATGGAGGTGAATAAACTGAGTTTCTTGTTGCCCATTGTATAATGAAGAGCAGAGAGTTGAGCCTTGTTGTCCAAAGGCAATGAAAATTAATTCAAAATTTCTGAACACTCACCCTCCACCCCACCCAACTGTTTCCCAATGTCAGGGAATGGTATAACTATAAATCCATGCTTTTGTTCAGCCCAAACATGAAGTCAGTCACTGGGTTCTAATCTTAATATCTCTCAACTTTGCCCCCTTTCTCCTATTTTTACTGACTCTGCTTGTATTCAGTTTCTCATCCATTCTTGCCTAAATAATTACAATAGTGTCTCATATCCCCAGGGTTTAGGATAGTGGCTGGTGCATAGTAATACCTTAATAGTACTTCAATCCAAAGTCTAGCCTGGGGAGACAGACACATCATCACACTAGTATGATGAGGGAGTGGAATGGGGGATCCTGCCACAGAAGGAAGTACACAGCTGATGAGGACCCCAGAGGGTCACAATAAAAACAATCCTGGGGCCAGCCCTGTAGCTGAGTTGTTAAGTTCACTCGTTCCACTTTGGCGGCCCAGGTTTCACCAGTTTGGATCCTGGGCATGCACATGGCACCGCTCATCAAGCCATGCTGAGGCGGCGTCCCACATGCCACAACTAGAAGGACCCACAACTAAAACATATACAATATGTACCAGGGGCCTTTGGGGAGAAAAAGGAAAATTTTTTTTAAATCTAAAAAAAAAGATCCTGAGAAGCACCTTACATTCAACAATTAAAATATTTGAGCACTTACTATATGCAAGGCACCAAAGCAAACACAACAATGAACAAGATACAGAACTTGCACAATGGAGGTCATGATCTCATGGGATAGACAGTCTCACATGCCCAATTGTCTCAGCAACACATACACTTGGATCCCAATATTCATCTCAAACTATAGAAAAGTGAACTCCTGATTTCCCACTCCCACCATCACCCAATCAATCAAAACCTGCTCCAATCACAGTATTCACCACATCAGTTAATGGCAACTCCATCTTTCCAGTTGTTCAGGACGGAAACACTGGTGTCATCCTTTAGGTTTTTTTCCTAACAGTCCACATCCAATCCATCAATAATCCTATTGTCTCTACCTTCAAAATGGATTCAGAACATGCCCACTTCTCCTTCTGCTGCTGTGATTCCTACAGTAGCATCACAGCTAATCTCCTAGCACCTTCCTGAGACCATACCTTCAAAAGTCCATTCTCAATGCAGAAGCCTGATGGTCTTCAGGGAGTATCCTGACTACAGATGACTGGTGATAGATGATCGATAGATAGATGGATGGATGGATAGATAGATAGATAGATAGATAGATAGATAGATAGATAGATAGATGTAAAACCACAAGACAAGACATGATCACCAAGGAATGAGTGTAAATGAGGGAGAAATATAAGGACTGGATTCTGGGACATTCCAAAGTTAAAAAATGGGGGGGAAATGTAGGAACCAATAAGCAGAGACTGAGAAGTAGTAGCCAGTGAGGCAGGAGGAAAACCAGGAGAGTGCTATACTAGAAGCCAAGAGAGGAAAGCATTGCAAGGAAAAAGTGTTCAATGGCATGAAAAGTAGCCAATTGGGCAAGTAAGATGAGGACTCAGAGTTAACCATTAGATTTAGCAAAACAGAGATCACTCATGGCTTTGAGAAGAACAGACTCAGGTGAATGATGGAGGTGAAGGCATAAGTAGAGTGGATTCAAGAGAGAATGGAGAGCAATTGGTGATAGCAAGTGTAATCAATTTCTTCAAGGAGGTTTGTTCCATAGAGTGCAAAATAATGAGGAAATAGGACCAAGAGGGTTTTTTAAAGGTACGAGATATAAGCATGTTGGATGTTGATAGAAAAGATCCAGTAGAAAGGAATAAACTTATGATGCAGAAGAGAAAGGGAGAACTGTTGCAGCAACGTCATGGCGCAGAAGTAATGGAATAGGGGCGAGTCCCCAAGTCGCTAAAAGAACAAACACTTCACTGTTGGTAATTAGAAGGTGACATTAATGAAGAAGGACTTTGTACATCAAGAGAAGAAAGGTTTCTGCACAATTAAGAGAGTAGGGACAAAGACCTAGAGGGGTAAAGGAGAAGCTGGTAAGTGATGATGATGGCACGAGGGAAGGGGCAATATGGAGAGCCAAAGCCAGAGATGGAGAGGAATTCTGGAAGTTACCACGACAGGTTATTTTTTAGGGCCTAAGAAGTCTGTACCAGCGTCTGAGGCCAGGTGGGCATAAAAAGTTGTTGACATTACTGATCACGTGTGTGAAGCAAGTACTCTTGGAACAGTGGAAGAGAGAGCAGAGAAAACTCTAGATGCATGGAGCATGAGGAAAGGATGGGGCTTAACCCACAGAAACAGGGCAGGTGTGGCATCCTAGGGTTCAGGAAAGGACTAGGCAGGCTTGGAGGTGGGAAGAGAGAACTAGAAAGCAGAAAGACAAAGACGCTGCCCTGAGTAGATGAGATGGACCTCTGTTTTGGACACCCCATATCTCTCAGACAGTGGCACCTCTGCATTCACCTTCTGACCTAGAGGAGCCAATAGCTGAAGGAAGTGCAGGAAGTATTGTAGCTTCATTATGAAGTGGTAAAGGGGACTGGGGGATGCTCCTGCCTCAATTGATTCCTAAGGAAATCCAAAATGACTCAACATCCCATCAAACCAGGAGGTAGTGGGGGTAGGACTCTCTTCCTCTGATAGGACCCTAACACTTAGCACAATGTGTCCACTGCTAGCAGGATGCAAAATGCCAGGAAGGGAAGAGGCATGAATGTGTCCCTCTTCTGAATGGTGATTGTGTACCCAAGGGATAGAGACCCAGCCCCTATTGTGGCCTCCAGGGTCAGGAAGCACAAGGCCCCAGTCTGCTGAGCCACCACTCTCCAGGTGTTTTCCTAAAGCATCCTCAAAGATCATAGGAGGTCTTGTGACAGGCACATCCTCCATGCCTGATGGAAGTTGGGCAAAGCGCCACAGAGCAAGGAGACAAGAGGGAGGCCCAGAACGAAGGGAATGACCCAGAAGGGTCACAGCCGCATCAGGTGGGAAGCCGAGGTTAATGTGCACACATCCTGCTTTAGGTGGATCAGGTCCTTCCCATGGTCCCCCACAGGCTCCTACCAGTGTCAGAGCAGTGTGAGTTCACAGTGCTGACCAAAGTCCTGCAACAAAGGGTTGGGAACAGAGAGATGAGCTGGAACCCAACCTTCAGGATTCTCAATTCTCAGCAAAGTCAAGAGCTGAGAGAAAACAAGGTCAAAGCCTATGACTCATGCAGGATTTTGTGGGATGTTGTTGAAGGATGAAGCCTTGATCATCCCATCCCATACCCCTAGCACAACCCCCACCCGCAGAGCCCCCTACGCTCAAAAGAGGTAAAATGAGAATAAAATGTCTCATGGCAGGGCACAAAGTCAACTATTTACTCTCCAGAATTGGTGGTAGATGCTAGGAATACATCAACGGTTGCTTGGGAACTTTGGAGTTCACCTCTGGTCCTCTGAGGTGCCATCATGTCTTGGTGGACAGCCCTGACCTCCTGGAGCCCTTCTCTTGGCTCAGCAGAGGGCACTTCAGAATTCTACGGAGAGAAGTTCAGGCAACTGACCACCTGCAATGAAGGAGAGGGGCTTCTCCACAAAACCACTTCTCCTCTTAAACACTGAGTCCTGCAAGTTAGGGACCACGGCTCTCTCTTTTTTTTTTTTTCCATTTAGTCGCATTTATTGAGCACCTTCCATGCACCAGGTACCTAATATGTGCCTGGGAGAAGATAGAAACAGTCCCTGCAGTCTTGGAGATTATGATTTTAGAAATGGCTTGCCTGGAATTGCTGGATGTCTACTAGTCAATATTTTTGGTTACAAATTTTGGCAAAAAAAAAAAATTTATTGGCAGGATCATGGGGAGGCCACAGAATCAATGGGAAGCTAGAGAATCAGATCAGGTAACTGGTATGCTGGGAACATGGCTCTCTCATTTTTGTACCTGCTGACTGCAGCCCACGCAGGGATGGCAATGAACACAGGATGAGAACAGGAATAGACTCCATAGTGATGCTGCTTCTTGTACCATATGAAGGGGGCTGGGCCTCTGCTCTCTACCAGCCATCCAAAGCCAAATGCTCGACCTGGGCTCAGGGGCCCATGGCATAGACCAGGCCTGTCACAGAAGGAAGGACAAAAATAGTTCCTCTGTCCACAACAGGGAGAGGAAAGATGGGAGGAGAGCCTTGAGAACGAGTGGAAATGTGAGGAACGAGCACAATGCAGGCATGTAAGGTCCTGGGGGATGCAGAGGACCAGATCCCTACCAGGTCTCCCTGGGCTTGGAGAGGACAGTCTGTTCCCATCTCCAGAGACAGTGGGGCCAGGACTCTCAATACTTGATCTGGATGGGAGCATGAGAAGAAACAGGGGGCCTGGGAAGGGGCCAGAGGGAGAGCTCTGTTTCCAGGAGGAGGGGTGGGTGCTGCCAACTGCCCCCCTTTCCTGCCTTGTAACCCTCGTCTATTGAAACTTCTCCGAGTCCCTGGCGAGGCAAGGAGCATATTAGGGGCTTTCCAGAATGTATCACTCCCAAGGTCAAGCTGACTACAGAGGCCACAGGGGCGGGGCCCTGGGCAGGCAGCTGGACACACGGGAATCCAGACGGCGGGAAGGGAAGAGAAGCCATCCTTGCGGTAAATAGTGCTGGCAGCTGGGGTGCATCAGGGGAGAGAGGCAGGGAAAGTGAGAGGACAGAGCAGAATGCCACACACGGTCAGAGACATGTGGACGCAGACACCCAGCCAAATACATACATAAACAGAAAGACACAAATTCAATGATGCCAGAAACTCATGAAGATTACCCAGGGACATGGCCAGGAAACACACCTAGAGACATGAACACCCTGAGTCAGACATGCTCGAGCAGACACAGGCACAAACACACATACAGACACATAAAGAGGCTTGCACACATGCGAACACAGCCCATCTTGTAGACCCACAAACCCAAACGCAGTCCAAATCCATCCTCAAACCCCTCTCCTCCAGAAAGCCTCCCAGGCTGCCTCAGACCAGCCTCTTTATGCTTCCTCTAAACTCCAGTTTGTAATTTCTGTCCCATTGCTTGTCCTTTAACAAGCATAGTCCTGCACTCACATGCATACCCCTGGTCTCTACAACTTGGCTGTGTGTTCTTTTTATTTTTTCTGCTTTATCTCCCCAAAGGCCCCAGTACACAGTTGCATATCCTAGTTGCAGGTCCTTCTAGTTGTGGCATGTGGGACGCCACTACAACATGCCCTGACGGGCAGCGCCATGTCCATGCCCAGGATCCAAGCCAGCGAAACCCTGGGCCGCCACAGTGCAGCGCATGAACTTAACCACTTTGCCACAGGGCCAGCCTCTTTATGCTTCCTCTAAACTCCAGTTTGTAATTTCTGTCCCATTGCTTGTCCTTTAACAAGCATAGTCCTGCACTCACATGCATACCCCTGGTCTCTACAACTTGGCTGTGTGCTTTCAAAGAAATGACAAGGTCAGCAAGTGAGTCC